CCAGGGGAAGACTCTGGTCGCTGCTCCAAGCCAACCACCCCCATGGGACGTTCACCACGGAGTAAGCGCTCGCACCACACGGCTGGGTTGCTGCTCGCCTACTTGTGCCTACTTGTACACTCCCCTCTCCCAGTCCTTTGCGGAGCTGCAAAGAAAAGGCGAGAGAGACAGACGAGGTACACAGAGAGAGGGGGGGGGGATGTTCAGATTAAAAAAAAGGTGACTCCAGGTTTCAGGGCGCGGGAGAAAAAAAAAAACACACACACTTTTCGCTTCTTGCTGAGAGACACACGTCAAAGTCGTATTCTCCATGTGACCACAAAGATAGCGCGATTGACGCTGCCTAAACAGCAAGCTGGTAGCCGCGGCGGTTGGGCCCAACACGCGGCCAACGCTCTGGGAGGCTGGCCTGCACGATGCGTTTGGTGGCGCAAAAGACCACAGCAGGGCAACCGAAGAAAAAAACGCCCCCCAAGCCGATAAATCATATCCCCTTCCACGGTTCCAGTCGCGTTTACGTGCGGGAGGTACCGTTCACATGGACGGCAACAACCCGCGAACGTCCCGTCCCGTTACCACCCACGGTACGACCCGTTGAGGCAGGCTCCAACGTGCTGCATGTCAGCGGAGGTCCCCGAAAAAGGCGGTCGGCCGATATGCTATATGAGGCGGGTGAAATTGGCTGGCAGAGTCCGAACAACCAATTTGTTCTACGCATTGAACAAGAGGCGGCTGCACCATGCATGCACAGAAGGCGGTCATTATCAGCCGCCCCACCACCACCGCCTTACCGTATATGACACAAGATAACACACCCCCTGGGCCGATTTTCAAAGCTCGATTTCTCAACAGCAGGAAGAGTCACAGCGCCGAAAACGGCGGCGTTGGAACCGTCTCGTCGAGAGGTTTTCGAAAATGTATTGTTTCGTTTATGCATCCTCTTCGTCGTGGAGTAATCGAGCTTTGAAAATCGGTCCAGGGGGTGTGTTATCTTGTGTCATATACGGTATACGGGGACCCGCAACTCACACGGACATGGGATGGAAGCTGCCGGTGAGGAGCCCCTGCTTCCCCGGGTTGGCCTTGAGCCAAATTTCTTCGCCCGCCACGTGCTTCATGTGCATCAAGGAGGCATCTTCCTCTGGGGAGTACGACATCTGGCGCGGGAAGAGTCGGGGGTCGGGGGCGGAGTTTGAGCTCAACAGGAGTTGCAGGAGAGAAGGCGGCGGGGGGTTTTAACCCCTCGTCCAGATCTTTACAAAATGTACACAGAAACAAAGAAAGACTACCGTTAGAGACATGCATAACCACAGCAGTTGTCGAAGCGGATGTGCTCAAGTCTTTCAGCGAGTGGGGGGAAACCGGTGGAAACTGGACAAAGATTGAGTCTGTTTTAAGCCTGGTACACAGATCTTGTGCAGCTCAAGTCTTCTGTGGCCAAGCAACCAGTGACCCGCGCGATACTGGAAGGGCGCGAAAAAGGTACTGGTACCCTGCATGAGAGCCAAGTGACCCGTACCTCTCTCCGTCGTCCACTACCGTTTCGAGCCCTCCAAAAGGTTAGGTTTGCGTGAGTTACCGTTTGATTTGCTGCTGTCAACAACCGTTTCCGACGTCCACGCAAACGCCTCCACAATTTTTTATGTGCCAGACATCACTTGAAGCTGGTTGTAGACTGGAGACGCTACATAGCTCCGTAGGCGATATCCGACAATGGTCCAATTTTATGCAAGACCAACACCGCAACATTTAGCCCAGAGCGCATACGAACGCAAATTACCAGGGTGACACAACCAAACCAGGACGGTAGATGGAGTATCCACGTGCCTAAACGGCGCGTACTTGGACGCGAAAACCATACAAACACGGCAGTCGCCTTCAACTTTCGGGGGTTATCCATCTACCCTCCCCCTCCGTTGCCGACTTGGGCGCACCCGTCGCCGGTCGCAATAGATCATCACTCTCACTCTTTTAGGTATCTCTTTTAAAAATCCGGGCAGCAGCTCCAACGAGACAAAATCTTCGCGTGCGACCCCACCGCGTGTCTAGTGTTGACGCTAGGGACAACCAAAAGAGAGGGGCAGGGAGGGTACGCAAACTTGCTGCGGAAACAGGCCTAGAGGAGAGAAATAAAAAAACGCAACGTTCAGCCTTAAAAAAACATAAGCAGTCGCTAGGGCCTCAACAAACAACAATCAAGTATCTAGTCGCTGACGAGGAAATGTTGACATTGCCGTGTAAACAACAATAACGCCTCCTTCTATGTTTACACCGCACTTGTTACCTTCTCGCCTTCACCAGTGTTGACCCCGGT